GACCTGGGACAGGTGCACGGAGTTCATGAGGAACAAGGTCACTCAGAACCTAGAGCCCTTTAAAAAATCTCTTTTCCTTTAGCAATGTGGTGAGCTTCAGGTTAGAACAAAAGGCAAAAGAGCTCATTTCTTTGCAGTTCTAGCAGTGGGGCTTCAGGAGCAATTTTAGAACAAGCATCTGGGGGGGGGCACAGCAGGCAGCTTTTTCTTGGGGAGAGTCGCTTTCAGGAACCAGTTTCTGGTTCCAGGCGGAGAGGAGGAGGAGCGATCAAGGAGCATGGAGTCCCCGTGCTGCCTCATGGCCAGGTCACACAGGTGTTGCCTCTGTTCAGACGGCACAGGTTTCCTCGAGAGAAGTCTGACACATTCAACTTTAATTTTACTGATCCCCTTTTCATGTGTGTTGGGGAGACGCTTTGTGCTTGTCTGCCGACTTCTTTCGGATTCATTTCTTTAAGTGTATGGGTAATGAAGAAACTTGTCCAGAGATGGATGTAGGGGTGGGACAGCGAAGGTCACGGCATATCTGCCCGTTAGTATAAAGTGTGGTGTTTTTTGTTTTTTTTTTAAGGATTTATTCATTTGTGCTTACAGAACTGGGGTGCAAGCCAGAAGTGTGGTGGGTGAGAGGATTCATCAGAGACAGAGTGGGGAACAGAACAGGCAGATTTACTGAAACACACTTCTGAGGGGAGCAGCGGGGAGACAGGAGAGGTCTGTTGTGCTAGTGGGTCACTCCCTGGCCGGGGATCAAACTCGTGCTGCAGTGGCTGCGGAAAGCTTCATCATGTGGTGTTTTAACTCCTGGTTCCACCAGGGAGGGCCAGCTGTCTGTCATTTTAATTCCCTGAACACTAACCCAAGGTCTAATTTTTAGCTGATTAGGTAAGTCATTACCTACCATTATGCTGCAAAAAATTATTTTGAGAATCAGCTCTGACAGGCAAGTCAAAGGGACTGGAACTCAAGCATCTCAGCTACTGATGGTTTTTTAAAGCCTCTAGGATTTTCAGTTTTAATATTGGGTTTCCTAGGGCAGCAACATCCTGGGATTGCTTTCATAGTTCCTTCAGCTATCTGATCCTGTTTCTAGCAAATTCTACTGTAGGCTGTGAACAATGTAAGGGCAAGGAGAACATCTTTTATGCATCTTTTCTCACACAAGACATCTTGTCCAGACCTTGTTGAGTAATAGAAGTGTCACAATGAGGTGTTGGATGAGCTGGGAGATTTTCATCATGGTGGGGAAGGGTTTGCTACCCCACCTTGACTCAGGGGCCTGCCTATTTGCTTTTCCTGAGGATGTAAATATTTTCTGGATAACTCAAAGCAGAGAAAAGATAAGACTTTCTTGGTATAGTTACAGGTTATGCAATAAGAGCTCATCTGTGCTAGAAAAGAAAGGCAAGTTTGTTCTACTCTGAGGCCACACCAACCATTATGACCGTAACAGTCTCTAGTGTCTGTCTGAAGATGGCCTGGAATAAGTATGGTTTGATGGGTTTCGAGTGGAAAAAATAAAGGTTGCTTACTCCCTCCTCAGAATTCCACGTGTGTGGGTCTCTTTCATGTCAGGTGCTGGGCCTTCTTGCCTTTACAGGACTGAGGGTGTAGTCAAGAGCTTGCACACAAATTTGGCTAGAGAGAGCATAGAGGCTGATCTAGGCCCAAGGGTTGGGAGAGTGAGGCAGAAACAAAACACATGACCCACACGCCCCATGCCTTCAGCGAAGTCTCTGGGTTAGAGGACCCAAGGCCATTTGAAGTTGACTTTTGATTTTTAATACAGGGAGAAGAAATACTATTTCTGAGCAGAGTGAAAGCTTTTAAGCTGCACTCTGAGTTTGGGCAAGACTGGGTTGGAGAGTTAAAATGGCTATTGTATATATGACAGAACTGAAGGCTATAATCAGTATGTCTGGAATCTCAGATGAAAACACAAAAAGAAATGCCTGGAGTTGGCTTCACTTTTGTACCTGACGCCATGTCAGTTCTTACATCACTGGTTCCGGGCTTGCTCTGTGCTGTCAGTGACCATCCCCTACCAGGCTGAATAGGCTGTCAGAGCTGCAGTGTGGTTCAACCTGAGGAGCCAGTGTGGGGGAGGGAGCCGGGAAGGGCTTGACGCTTGGATTAGACATGGAACAAAACTCATATCTGGGGATGCTTCTACTTTCTCATGGCCTAGACTTAGACAAGTCTAAACGAAAAGTGTGCTCTCCTCACCAATAATTTAAAAATGGCCTCTAGTGGTTCCCTTGTGTTTGGGCTAACTGTTGTGAATCACAGGACTTTAGCTAGTCTTACCTGGACAGAGTTGTAGTTAAGCTTCCCAGGGCTTCCCAGCAGTCCTTTGCCTTTCCTGTTTCTGTCTTCTGTATTCCACATTGTGGAATACAGATGATCATACCCAAAGTTTTGCTCCACCATGGATTAAAGGCAGGTCTGTCTTGGGTGAGGTATGAAGTTTAACACGATATGGTTAAAGTTCAAAGTGAATTTACTAGATCTTCTTTTAATAAACCACTTAAGAAAGGACATCCTAAATTTATTCAATCCCATTTGAGGACTCAGATGAGACAATATATGTGGAGTATTTAGCTCAGCACCTGGCAGGTAAAAAGTCCTCAATAAGGGTGCCTAATTTTTATCCATTCAGTTGAAAGAAACTTGTATGGGTTTCTGGGATCTGGTAAGTATTAGGTACAAAGATGCTTCAGGACATCAGCTGTTGCCCACAAAGAGTTTTCAGTCATGGTTGGCGGAGACAGGAGAACAAAGTAACTCCATAACTTCAAAGGTAGAAATTAATAAAGGACAGAAATATTATGAGGAAATAATTTTAAATTGGGCTTTGTAGAATGTGGAGAGTGTGGAGTTGTGGGAAAGGAAGCCATCAATATTCTGAAGAATAGAATAAACCTCAAGAGAGGTATTGGACAGGAATGACACATTCAGCTTTGCTTCAATATAGGGAGTCAGATAGATAGAGGTTGGAAGACAAGGCCGAAAGGAAAAAAAAGCAGGGAGGATCAGGATAGGGGTACACATTGGTTGGAAATACCACACTGAAGGGTTCAGCCTCATTTATGGGTCATCGAAGGTGCTGGGGACAGGAGAGGTAATAAAAGCCTATCATTTGCTATCTGCTGTGAAAAGTATATTTGAAGGACTAACTTTTCTTCATTTGTCCCGAAAGATTTTGTTTATTTATATTTTCTCAGGTTTCTAGAATACTTCATACAGATAAGAAAATTATGAACATTATTATGTTTTCATTATGATATCTTGGCTGAAAAAGATTTTAGCCTTTACTGCATTGCGAACCAGAGAGAATAAAAATAGAAACTGTATTAATTCTATTCTAATCTATTTACGTCCTTTCTACCTTACAAATACTGACACTAAAAAACCCTTACAACATTTTATCTGGAATTTGGCACATCATCAACGCTTTCCTCTGGTGGTGCCCCACCACTGGAATTTCAAATGACATTTGCACGACCTTTAGTTGTTGACAAGCTTGTCTTGTTACTGTTTTTAGTATGATATGTCAATAGTATTGACCAGGGTCATGGTTCTCATTATGCAGCCCAACCATAGGTCAAATCCCCTCATCTATGTCACTACAATGTCCTCTACTTAAGATAACTGAAGACCCAGGTTAATTTGTACTTCAAAGACAATTTACTACTAGTTTTGTTAGTTTTCAGCTTCTCAAAATGCTTTTGTTGCCCTAGCAGTGCAACATTGCAATTAATAATGTGTATATATATCGAACCATAATAATGGTGGGACATTCATGAGGTGAGGAGACCTGAGGGTGTTTGTATAAAAAGGGAGAAGGTAGAATCCAGAACTTACATTCTGTACTGGGAGAGTCAGACCAAGAAGGGAGAAGGCTGTGGTAACTGAGAGAAGGTGAATAGGAGGGTAGTGGGGGGCCAGGTATTGAAGTGCGCAGGTGTAGGGAAACTAGAATTCAGGTTGCATGTTTTGACCTAGTGCGGTAAAAGCGTTATCATTAGCACTAAGTGGGGTAACCCATGGGAGAACACATCACCATCCTTTGGCCCTACTCATCTCAGAATCAGCAATCCCAGAAGCAGCGCCCCCCCGCCCCC